TCGCCGGGTTGACGTGGGAGAGAGAAATATGTAGCGACGGAGAGAGAGAGAGAGAGAGAGAGAGAGAGAGAGGGAGAGGGGGAGAGAGAGAGAGAGAGAGAGAGAGAGAGAGAGAGAGAGAGAGAGAGAGAGAGAGATTGTCGAACCGGAGGAGGCGTGCGTTTGCCTAGAAGCGTGGAATTCCATCGACCGGCACTCGTGCGCCTTGTTAACGTGACGCCCACAGCGGAGTAAACGGTCCGTCGTTGTGGCAGAAAAAAGCTGCAACTACTTATCCCCGCGATCATACCTTCTCATGCGAAACGATATTTAACGACAAAGTCGACGGCATCGATGGCGTTATTATTTATTCTTACCGCATTATTACTTATTAACCGCGCGCGTTTCCTCGCGCGCACCACCGTTTAGCCATTTAACGACAAACTCGAAGAATTCTATGTAATTATTCATTCACGATCGTATATAATTATCGAGATAAATAAACATAAAAAAATATTCAGTATACATATGTTTATGGAAAGATGGACATTTACTGCGAAATTGACAGAGGCAGACGTGATCACGTGAGTTGGCCTCATTTCCTTCTTTTTTACAGGGAAACAAAAGCACGACGACAGTCGAATAAATTTTTCATGTAGTTCGGCTTATCTTATTCACGATGCAAAAGACTATTTGCATTACCAAGTGGCTACGAGTTTTCTTTACGATACGATAGCAACTGCGTCATTTATCTATACACCTTCTCTACATTGTGCTTGCTTTACTTCGAATAGTTGAACAACATTGATCCTAACTATGGAAAAAGATGTAAAATATTTCATTTAAATGTATTATTTAAAATTATATTTTTAACCTGAGAATGGCTACCTGGGGTGATTTTTCAACGCCTCAATGTCGAAAAAATGAGGCTTACGTCACAATATTTTTTTTTTATTTATTGATAAAAAATCCATATCTATCTTTTATTCAAAGGTTTCGAGATCCAACTCTCTCTCGTATAATAGGAAAAATTTAGGACTTGTACATTCGTAGTACTTATTAAAACTTACTGGATGTAGAAATCACCCCAGGTGATCGTTTATTACATTAAAAAAATTAATAAAGTATGGTCAGAGTTTAATTATAAATTTGAAATAATAATAATTGGAATGAGGTTATGAGTATATAAATATGTTTATAATAAATAATAATTATAATAGTTTACATAAAATAGAAAAAAATAACAATTTAATGAAAACATGCGTAAATACTTACAAAAAATAACAAAAAATAAAATAAATGTTATAAATTTATTTAATGCAAAACATGTTTTGTTAATAACAAAAGTAATATTTTTGTATAAATATTTGTATATACTTATTATATTTCTATCCGATTAATCGATTAATGCATAAAAGATTTTAAGAAGAATCGAGTTTTAACATATAAATATTTATTTTTATTTAAAAATTCTTTATGTAACTTTTATTTATATATAAAATAATAAACAAATATTATAAAAACAAGTTATTTTTAATAATTCTCTCTGAACAGAGCAAACACAATATAAATGACTTTATATAGTAAAAAACAGCTTATTTCAAATTGCTATAAAACATATATTAATTAATTTTCTTTTTACGGGCCTTTAAATATGCAATCCAATAAAAAATCCGTAATACAAACACGTTTTATTAACAGATATCCTTTATTTTTTAGAAATACTATCATAATAAGTCGATTAATGTATGCTATATAGCTTCTTTTGATTTTTAAATTTTAAATATTGCTTTCTCCTTACTTTTTTTCAGAAAATGTTGAGTATATAATATTTATTTATTTGATCGTGCCTTACGACTTTGGATGGATTTCCGTACAATACATTGTTTTACATTATTTTCTTTTCATATTTAAATTACGTTATATTATCTCTTATGTCCTATAATACATATTGTCCTCAATACTAATAAATTATAGGACAATAAGAAATATGTAATATGTAATTACTAACAATGACTTTTAATTGAGGTGTAAAAATCACGCCAGATGACCATTTATACAAAAGAAATCAGGCACTCGTTCCCGGGTTAATACACAACATTCTATAATTAGAAATAAAGAAATAAATATATAAATATTTTTGTAATAAACTCATATTTATATATATATATATATATATATATATATATATATATTAAATATATAAAATTACTTTTTTTGTATATAAAGTTAAATTCGTGAAAATGCGCATTTCTTAATACGGTAAATAAAAAGGGAATAAATTTTAGAAAATATTTCCTCCAGTAAGTCTGTCTGCTCGTCACTCGAATTTCTCGAGACATCTCTCTGACACTAACAAAGCGCGCGAGAGCACGCGCAAGAAAAGAAATGTCGTCTGACTGTACGGCTGTATATTTTCTATATACGCGAGATAGTCGCGATGCGTACAAGGAGAAAGAGAAGAAGAAGGTGGACGATGTGCAGGAAAGGACGAAGAGGAGAACGCGAGGCAGAAGCCTGTTTGGAACATCCCGGCGCGGCGGCGGCGGTGGCGGCGGTCCAAGATGGCGTCCACGCTCGGTGGTTTCCCGTTTTCTCTTTCTCTCTGTCTCCTTCTCTCGGCTTAATTTCCGATATCGTCAGTCGACCCTTACCATCTTGCCCTTTTTTGGTGCGCGTTACGCCCATGGAATACGTAACAACGCGGCGCGTGATATACGTACGTAGTACGTAGTACGTAGAACGCATCTGGAGCGCGCCATGCCCGATTCTACGTTGCCTTATACCCGTGCACGCGTATGCGAGTAAATGCATGAACGCGTGCGTGCGTGAGTACATACATGAGTATGTGCGTGAGTGCGTTCATGAGTGCGTGCGTGAGTAGCGCGCACGTAACGGTATCGGGCACCACCGAAAGACGCATGGCCACCCCTCGGTCACGGATTAGCATATCAATCCCCTCGTTATACGACCCCATCGGTCTCTCTCTCATTCGCGCTCTTCATCCCTCTCTTACCCGCTCGATTTGCGCCATTAACGTTTCGCGCGAGTACATAGCCATTGTTACCTTCAATCATAGGCTCTACTTGATATCCCGGACCTCCCGGACTATAAGTAGTTATAGATTTTAAGGCAGTCCTATTTGACACGCGAATTTTAGCTAACCGGAAATTTTAGATTAGCTCTGTCTGTCCCAGACTCTCCTCGACGCGACATTCGGACTCTAATTACAAATCATAGACAAATCATAGACAAAGTGAAGACTAAGTTTAATATTTAAGAGAGTAGAAAACGACTCTATAGTGATATTAACGAGAGATTAATGTAATCCTTACGTCCGACGATAATAAATATCAATACTGCTAATAAATATCGTCGACGGATTGCATTAATCTATTGCGTCTGGTAATATGGTATTAACCATATATAAACGACTGGCGCATTATACTACTACCACGTTGCATTAATGTTGAAACATGATATTAACTGACATATACGTTAATGGATAATGGAGTTTTTGCGCGTAAACCTTGCGGACAAGATCATCAATATAATTGGCGATCTTTCCGCTTTTCTCTAACTGAAATAATCATATATATATGTATCATACATATACAGAGTGTTTCAGATAACTGTTACAAAATGAGACGACAGATGCAAGGCATTAAACAAATATTTTTTTAGCAAAGCATGTCCGGTCATACCGTTATGAAATTACAAGCTATTAAAAATTTTGTTATTGGACACTTTTATCTTTTTTTATCGAGTTATAACACATGTTCAAAGTTATCACTATGTTGTTCAAACATGAAACTATTATTGCCGTATAACAAAGATTGTTGTATTTTTTAAATACTGTTTTTATCATGGATCACACCGTTGCATATGATGACCATATCCTGGTCATGGCAAGAAAATCTTTCTGTTCGACAGATGTTTCATACATGGTAATCCTTAAATGATCATAAACAACTCCAACAAACTTAAACTAGCTGAACGTACAAACTATAGGATGAGTCTATGGTATCCAATTCATTAATGGATAACAACGGAACTTTTAGTTCCAACAATGTCTGATTGGATACGCCTTGCTTAATAAAAAATGTTTGTATTGATATCCCGCATTTACTTTCTCATTTTGTAATATTTCTGAGATTATTTTGAGATAAAGATATCAAAATGTCGAGGCTATAATAATTATTTTTATTATCGCCTTTCTTATCAATATCGATATAAGGATTACGGCAAAAAGAGATTAATTAATTAATATAAGTAAAGAAGATTAATCGACATATATGTATTTTAATTATACATATAAAAAAATCTTTTTTTTTCTCTTTGCGTCTTGTCTGCACAAAGTGTCAGAAGTATTACATTATCAGGAATATTACATTACGATGGTAATATCTTTTTTATGAATCAGGAGTATATCACGCGCGAGCAAAGTGCAAATGAGACGATTATTACTGACTGTGAAACGAGCGGAGAAAACAATGAGGATTGCCGCGTCACGCGAATGCATCTCCGAGCGAGACCGCAATTCTTCTCACGGCGCGATCCTTGTAAGAAATATCAATCTTGCTTAACGCGTCACGAGAATGCTAATGTCAAGTCGCCACTGACATTGCTTTATTAATTCTGTATACCATTTGCATCGCACATCACTCTCGGCAACTAGGAAACGTGCATGCATCTTAATCTAATTATTATTCTCAATCAAACGGTTGACTATATTAATCGCAATTCTAAATCTTATTAAATATTTAATGATGTTAACAAGATATTATTCGATATTACTTGGGATATATCGCGATCCCCGCATGACGCAAATGGCAAATAATAATAGTAATTATCATAATAATCGATTCGTTAGAAATACGATAGAATAGCAATCCCGTTTGGATTGCAAATTTCCGAATTAGACTGAAAAACTATATAAAATCGTTCGATTTAACTTATCTTCGTGAAATGAGATCAACGCAAGGCTTTTACATTCGGGACTTTAACTTTCCTGTGCTTACCTGAGTTTCGGTCAACGATAACGCCTGCGCCAATTGCTTTCTCTCCGCCCCAACGACGTAGTGATTTTTCTCGAAGGCGTGTTCCAACTTAAGCAGTTGGCTCGGGCTGAAGGCTGTCCTTATCCTCTTCGGTTTCCTGAAGGGTTGAAGTAAGAAGCCGGGTATGTCGGGACCTGAGACGAACAATTTTAACAAAATTTAAAATTTCAGGAAATTTCAGGAAATTTTAAACTTTGTTTCGAGTCATTTAGATCTAATCTCTAAAATTATTTTAACAAGGCTCGGTTATCATCGCCGTATCGTTTTTCGCTGAAATTTAAAAGATGAGACGACAATGCAAAAGAAGAAAAAGGAGAGGAGAAGAAGGCGAGATTACCACGAAGTTGATGAGATATCATTAAGAAGGAAGCTAAATGTTGAATCTAAATAATGAATCAGCGATATGAATCGACGTTAGTAAGAACGCGTAATTCACCGCTAACAAATTAAAATGGTAATTTAATTACACGAGGAGCCGCTGCCTGCATAAGGTTTCAGACGGTTCAGACGGTTGGCATAAGCGAATGGGGGAACGGAGACCGCGCGATTTATTAACGATTAATTAATTGTTAAACGCCACAACGTCATCCGGCTAGTGTCCGTGCACGCCTCATAGAGCCTCGCCTTGAAAATAAATAATCGGCACGCAAGCCACGAATTCGTTCACGAACTGTAGGACCGTGCGTGCCGCAGCGCGACGCGGGAGAAAGAGAAAAACACCTACTCGTGGCGGTGGTGGAGAGAAGGTGCACAGAGCCAGGAACTCGGGGCCAGGTAATTGAGTATTCTACCACGAAAGAGCCATGTCGATCGACCGATAGCCACGTCTGCCGGAAGTCACCCGAGATGCTTTAGCGGAAAGCTCGGGACGATAAATCGCCACGTCGCCCGCACGGTTTCCCTCCGGCGCGGCGCGTGACTATACTTCGCGACTTGTATGTTATACAGAGTGTTAATCCGATTTCCAGCAATCGGTCTGTGAAATCGTCCAACAAGTATCGCAGGGATACGGGGAGTCAAAATCGAACTGCTAGAAAGTCCGCTGAAAATCGATGAAAGTCTAACGAAAGGCGTTGTGCAGATTTAAAGAATATATATAATACGTTTACGCGTAATAATAATTTTACGCGACGATGTACCTACAGAAATTCAGCTCGAGGCTGAGAAAATCTGGACAAAAGTTCTCGTAGAATCCGAACTAAACGTAACAGAATTTCGAACTTCTCTCCATTCTTCCCCGTGACGATCTCCGACATCAATTAGCATTTGCATGCGCCTTCCGTGTTATTATTCATTGCGGTTTCTAAATTACAGCGTCAGCGTGCAAAGTGATCTAAATAAGTCACGCGCAGTAGGTTACAGCTAGTAACCGGTATAACGTACACGCGACCAGCCGCAACGGTGAATCGTATCATTTGCATTGCGAAAAATTTATCCGTTAGGATCTTCGCGGCTGAAACTGACAAGTTAATAGCTGGATAGCGCAGGGACTGCTATATCCTCTAGACATCTGTACGTTTCCCATATTTTTTGCCGGCCGGCTGGATTCTCAATTGCGGCATTAGAGCTGACAAAGTAATCGAGAAGTAGGTTAAACGCATCGACCGGGTAGTATCGCAATCGACCAATGAATCATTACATTTAATGCTGTCGATACTCAAGTACCTGCGACTTTGGATTAATAAATGAGTATCTTGATATCCGGAGGGACCGACCGATTCATACCAACAGTATTAATTCCATTTCCATCGCGAGAGAATCCATCATATAATCTTCGTAGATGATTTTATAGACCTATTCCATTCCGTATGTGGCCTTCCGTCACGATGGCATATAAGTCACGTTTTTCTCATTTTAAGAAATCAAAAGATTCATGCGAGAAGATGATTAAACTCGCGGCTTAATCATTCATTTTATTTGTCACGTTTTGTCTGAGATCGAAGAAAGAGATATAAAATTTTTTAACAAAATTAATTGAGTGGCATATCTCTTCGAGTATACATATATATATATATATATATATATATATATATATATATATATGACTTCACGTCATTGTTTTGCTCAACAACTCATTTCTCGTTGTCACTCCTCGAAATCGCGTTCTCGCAGAAGAATCGCGAAATGAATGCCTTAATAAACACGTCGCATACACGGGCATGTGGTGTTTAAACAGAACGCGCTTCCACGTGCGGGCGCATTCTTGCGAATCGCGCGGCGAAGGTTGATTCTTGATGGGATCAAAGCCTCACGCGTGTAAATAGACGCGTTAATCGGCGCTATTCCAAGGTGGCGATAACGTAGTCCTCGTTCCATCTAATCCGACGTAATTCGCATAATCCATGTAAATCCTGGTGAATGAACTTGAAGAAACGCAGCATCACAAGTGCTTTACTTTTTTTACACACGTTTACAGAATAATAATAATCATATTATATATATAGATATTCTGCATAATGTTTCTGATATTTCTATGATGTTTCTGTAATGATCGTTTAAAATAAATTAATATCTATTATGTAACTTTGATTATACATATATGTATATTGATAGGCCTTGTATATGTATAGGAGCATTAGTCGTGCTGGCGCCTCACCATTTGCATGTACAATTCTTTCTTTCATTCTTCTTTATGTCTCTCGTTGCTACAAAACTTATTGATTTTGAACATTAACAATAAAGATTATTATCATTTTATTAACCGACTTCAAAAAAAGGAGGTTCTATATTCGGCCTTATATGTATGTCCACGATTTTCTCTAAAACTACTGGACGGATTTAAATGCGGTTTTCACTGTCCTATAGAGTAATCCTCCAGGAAGGTTTTAGTACATTATATCAATTTATTAAAGTATATTTATATATTTCGATTGCAATATATTAATCTATCTGTTAAATCTTACACCTGCGATATACAATGTATTTTTTACTGTTATTTTACACAACACAGAGGGTGAACCCAGATAAATGTAAATTTACGTTGAATTACACGAGCGGGTGGTTCTCTGCAGGTACACGGCCGGTGCTAATTACAGCGAAGGAATAAAGGATCATTAGCGGTGCGCTCGTGCGTGAAGTGATCGCTATTTATATGGGTAATGAATAGTAATGCGATGACTCTTACTGCGACCGTGCTCGGCCGCGATTTTGAATGCGCGACATATGTTGCATACCGTGACTATGGCCCGCAACTGTGAGGTAACAATCGCGTTTCGCTAATAATTAATCAGCTAGCAGAACGGCTAGAATTCTCGCTTAACGACGCGAGAAAAGTGCGCAAACAGTGCGCAAACGTGATAAATAATTATACCCGCGCTTTGGTAATTCATGATCGATGGCAAACAGAAATTGTCGAAAATGTATCGTAATAAGGAATATTATTATTCATCCATCAGGGAACAATTGCTACCGTATTTTAATCATTATATTTCAATCACGCAGTAAAAAGATTTGTGTTAAATATAACATAAATCACATGTCTCAAACGGTCTACTCAAATTTTTGTGTTAATTTAACATAATGTGAATATGTCAAATTATGACACAAATATTATGTTCATAATTTAACACAAAATAAAGAAAAGTTTGATGATATGTTAATAAAAATTTTTTGTACAACAGACATCTGTATAATGTTAAATATTATTGAAAAACATGTTAATTTAACATTTTTGTACGTACAATAGACATCTGTATAATGTTAAATATAAATGAAAAGGATATTTTTTAAACAAAATTACATTGTTTTTATGTTAATCTTACAATTAAATATAAAATGTGTTATTTTAACATTTGATTTACTTAAATATGAATTTAACACAAAAAATCAGATAACATGATCAAAATTAGTTAAATTAACACATAAGTATGTTACATTTTTAACACAAAAACTTTAACAAGGTCCATTTTTAACAAAAATACACAAACTGTGTACGTATTATGTATTCAATTCAATTTATAATATTTTTTTTATTATTTTAAGATCCTTAAACGAGCGTAAATATAGAAGATTACAATCATTTAAAGGACCTTGTATTCGAAATGCTTCACGAAGGTGGGCGATGCGCGATCGATCCGCGATCTCTATCGATCCCGTGTGGTCGGATCGCGGACGGGCGCTTCGTCGTTAGCGGTTCCCTAGGAACTTCCTAGACATCGCCTGGAGCGACACGCTTAACTCGTCCATTGCCGTGCGGCGGGGAAGCTGAGAAGGGGGAAGGAGAAGAAGAGAAGGAGGAAACCACGACAACAACGAGGACGACACAGCGCGGAAGAACGAAGAGGCGAGTCGGACGGCCTGTAATTACGGGAAGCTTGTGCTGCGGCTTTCGCAGCTGAGACGCCCAGAGCGACTCGAAATTACTCAAAAATAAGACCAAATGGTAAACGTATCAAATTATATCCCCTCCTCCCTCCGCGCGGCCTACCAAGCTTCCCCCGGGTCTTGTCTCTTTCTCTCCTCTCTCTCCCTCTCTCTCTCTCTCTCTCTTCCTCTTTGTCTCTCCTTCATTTCTCTCTTCCTTTCTCTCTCTGGTACCGCATTTTGCCAGCAAAAACAACTCACGCGCGCTTAACGCATCACACTAATGTGTTTTTAATTGTCGCTAAGCGTGCAACGAGATGTCGACGATCGCGCACGAAACCAACCGACCGACGCGACGCGACAACGCGTCGCGAAACAGGTGAAAATGTAAATAGAGAAAGGTAGATACGCCGGCGTTTGATGAGCTGTGTTAATAGAAGAAGACAACAAACCTCGAAAGAGGTTGTTCTTAAAAAGCACAGCGTTATTAAATTTAAAAGAGATTGCGAATACATAAATAAAATAGCGTCAAAGACTGTCAAACATCCTCTCGTTCCGAAACCCTAGATCTCTCTTCCTTATCGGAAGTCAAAGGTCCATAAATCTCAATGGAATTACGACGTGATAGCACGGCATTTTACTGATTGCTCGACTTTATTATTTCTCGTGGCTACCGTAATTACAGTGGCGATCGTCGAACTTTTTCACGAAGGTAATTTCATCACATATCTGAAATAATTAACCGTGACGCTATTAATTATTCGAAACCGATCTATTTAATTCCGTTTGCTCTCGGATAATTTCAAACTGGCAACTGGTCGTAAATATATAG